CTGCAAAATCTCATTATCTCAGGGCTATTTCATGCTAATGTAATAATGGATACCAGCGGATTAATTTATCACTTCTACTAATTAGTAGTTATGTTTTTAAATAGGGTCTTCAGGAGTAATGGCTTTACCTACAGCAGTGAAATTTGATAACTTGGCAACTAATGAGAGAGTTTTGGGTCTGTAAATGATTAGGCCTCATCCAACCATGGCGCGCAGGTGCCACCTTTGTTTTCTGTATGTTGTTCCAGCCTCCAAAGGGACAACCTTGCCCCAAAATGATATACCCTGATTGAGCCAGACACCCAGATGTGACCTGAAGCAGGGCGACTGGCAGAAGTGTGGACAAGGCGGATATCACTGGAATTTGAGGAACTATATCATTTCTCAAATTACCACTCTCTGTCCAAGAACTCTGACCACAAATAGAGTTTCGTTTTCTCTTTCTATTGTGATTAACAAGCACCGGACAAGCTTAAACATCAGTTAGTCTACCTGTAGATAATGTGTCCATTTCCATCAGGAAGATGGTACAGATGTAGAGGGGCTGGATTATAACAGGGTGACTAGTTGGGGAAGATGAACGCTAGAACAGAAGAGTAATTTTCTGCCATGCATGAAAAATGCATCTGGCAGAGACTCACGGGGACTTGCCAAACCTACTTTTAGAGTTTGGACCGACCCTAAGTGTCACACAGATCTGACATTCACATCAACCACAGCAATTGTTCCCAGTTCAGAATCCCTAAGAACCCTTCAAATATCTGGCATCCATGTGTTAAACAAAATATGTCTCGTAGCTGAATTTGTTTATAAATTATGAGTGAGACATTAACAAAGTTTTCTGTTGACCACACAGCATTCATTAACCAATCACAAAGGTTTCAAAGGTGGTTTATGACCTTAGGAGCCATTTAAAAGTTGAAAGGGAAACAACGCTGATCTAAATGCTCAGCTTTCTTGCCCTTTGCAGAAACAAGTACTCTATCTCCTCTTAATCTGAAACTTAGCCCGATGGACTCACCGCTGAAATGTGATGCTGGTATAAACAATGTAGCATCACAATCAGCTGAGCAAGGAAGCCCCCTGGGGGGGCTGCCTTTGAGGAGCTGGTCTTCCCACGTGAAGAACTGCAGGTTATGGACATGGAGTAACCACCAGGCTACCACACAGCAACCTCTGCATCCACTGGTCACCTCGGAATGAAACAGCAGTTACACTTCCTGTATCAAGAATCTGGCTCCCACCACACTTGGCCACCTTCTTTCTATTAAATGACAAGATAAACAATTTCATAAATCACTGGTTAAAAGAAAAGCTACCTTTCAGAGGTATATGAGCTGGCAGAAATCATACTGGGTGTTCTAATGGAATTTAGAAATACCAGGGAAGTTAGAATAAGAGAAAGTAGACATTCCATTAGTGAGTTTCTAGTTTTCTACTTGGCTGAAAGCAGGGATGATAACGACGGTAAGAAAGCATATTTGACCTTTTAGGACTGACAAAACAAGTGTGATGTTTGACAGTAATAGCTATTACATAATTCACTTTCCACTTAAGTTTTTAATAGCGCTCACAAGGTTAGTGCGAACTCGACGGCGTGTGTATACACACGAAAGAAATGGAGGAAAGCAAACCCGCTTCTCAAATATTTTACAGTGTTTTGATCGTTTAAGAAGACTTCAAGCATTATTTTCCTAGAAATTCTGACAAAATGATTCTATCAAATTAACTACTTGCTCCAAATTACGTATTGTGTCATTAATCCCGAATATAGGTTATATTTTACAGGCAATCACCTTAGCCATCCTGTCATGTCGGAATCTTCTATTTCCAAAATTCTCGGGTAATACACCTTGCAGAGGATCAATATTATCTCTGCTTCTAAATTTCTATTATCTTCATCCAATAAGTGTGAATGAATTAGATGCCTAGTGCCGCATGAATCTCAGAAAATGAAAAATAATATCACCCTTTGTGTCCTAATTCAAGCTTCAAGGGTAAGAATTCATTGTCCCTCAAGGCAGGGCAGGCAAGGAAGAGCCAGGGGCAGGTGCCAGGACACGTGATGTCCCATCTCGGATGGGACAGATGCTGGGAAGTGGCGGGAGAGCCAAGGCTGACGATTAAGGAGAGGTGGGCGGCGGGGACGCATCAGCCGGGGAGCACTGGGCTCTGGGAGGGCTCTAGCCAGTGCAGCACATCATCATCATCTCTGTCACACATGATGCCGTGGAGGTGGCTGCAGCCCTTTGGGCCCCCGTCTGTACCTGTCGAAGGGATGATGGAACATCGAATGGAGAGAGACAGGTGCTGCCCATCCAGGCACCCAGGGGCAGAGTCCAGAGGACAGGACATGGGCATCTGGAGCCAGGAGCGCCGGCACCCTGACCCAGGCCTCGCAGGCTTGGCACGAAGCCTGCTGGACAGGGGATTCGGGCTAAAATAAGTATTGAGTCTTCGTAGACTTTGGCCGCAGTCGCGCAGGCTGGGGGACTGGGAGAAGCAAAGATACGAGGGAAGTCCAACTCCAGAGTCTGTACGTGCGCTGGAAATATGCCTGTGGCTTCAAACACTTTACATCTTCCTTGAAAGCTGCCCTCTTTCCTGACTTGTCTCCATGCGCAGCATCAGGAAAGCAAGAAGAGATTTTCCCATAACAACTCGCCAGTTAGATGTGGAATCATAAAAACACAAAATACTTTCTTTTTTTATTTTTAACATCTTTATTGGGGTATAATTGCTTTACAATGGTGTGTTAGTTTCTGCTTTACACAAAATACTTTCTGATCCAATCTAGAGACCCACACTCTGGTTTGAAAATAAGGATTCCCAGAATGGTCATGAGTCTGGGTGGGTCCATGTGGAGTCCGGTTTCCTGTCCTCAAACAGAGCCAAATCCCAGTGCCCGGAGGCCCTGGGGATGCTGAGTGCCCCTCCAGCCCCTGCCGCCACTCTGACCCCTCCTGAGGTCGGTCCAAGGGCACGAGTTCTCCCCCTCCCCGCTCCCTCCTGAAGCCCCAACGCTCAGCCCCACTTCCTGAACCTCCACTGAGAAAAGCTGAATTCCTCGATCTATGTGCCGTCTTTCCCCACGTGCAAATTGAAACTTTGATCATAAATAGGAATGTTCTTTTGAAAGCTGTATGTTACATAACCCAGGAAAAACTCAGTCCAGAAGGAACTACTGTAAGTGGAGGTCAACGTCAGCCTCAGTGGAAATAACTCATTTCAGCACCCGCAGCTGTGGAGTCATCAGGGAGTTGTCTGGCTACATGGTTTTTTCACATCTGTCAGTTAATTTAA